TGGCATCTTCTCTAAAGTCTTATCAGCTCCCAAAACAGCTTCCCAGGGGTATCAGCCACCACAGCTAAGGTAGAGCAGCTCTGATACTTCTCCAGCTTATGCCAGGGGGTAGGCAGAGGCAGGGGAGGGGTGGATTCAAAGTGGGGGAAGAGGTGCAGACACCTCAGTCAGTGTCACCAAGGAACAGCAGCTGAGGACTCGAAGTCCCCAAATTGAGTAAGAATTCCTCCCTCCCTTTCCCTCTATGCTCTGTGGTGGCTCTCCCCTACACACCCTTGCTGCTATCTCTGGCTGCCCCAGGGGTTGGGGCTGGGGCCAGGGTGGGAAGAGCTCTAGAGCTGCTTTAGAGCAAGACTCTATGGGGTGTGTACTCATCTGGGGAAGCAGCTGTGATGGGCAGGTCGCCCTGCCATGCCACTCCCCCCCCCCCCCCCCCCCGCCATATTTCCTGCCAGCCAAGGAGCAAGCAAGGGGGAAGGGAACCCACTGCTGCTGCTTTTGTTTCTGACCAAGTCTAGCTCCACATGAAGGCCAACTGGAGCAGGACAGAAGCAGCTCTGGAGTCTTCCATCTGTACTCATGTCAGCTGGGGACAGCAGCAGCAGTGGGCAGGGGAGGGGACGAAGGAGGGGAGGGAAACATGCACAGCGGGGCAGGGAAGGGTGAAGGAAAATTGTTACTTGATTGAGTGATTTTTTTTAAAAGGGTTTGGTTTATCTCTGCCTTTTGAAGAGTTTCCAGGCTATGAGAGATGATTTCCCCATGTGAGTGGTGATTGAAGTTGTACTGCCAGACTAATATGTGTGGTGCCAATTCAGTTGGGTTAATTCCCTGTTGCAATATCAGATTGGATTCTGAAGCAGCAGACAATCTCCCTGGTGATAAGAGCTTCAGCTGACATTGAGACTATTTACTTACAAATTTTTGTACTGACATGTTTTACTGCCAGTAAAAAACATGTTCTCGACCACTGAAAAATGGTAAACCCTGCTGCCCTTATCACATGGTTCTCCTACTCACCCCCACAACCTGGCACCTCCAGGGTACACGGCACCATGCTTCCCCCCCCCACACACACCTGGCCCCTGTGGCAGAAGTGGGCGAGTGGGAGGTGGGGGAGAAATTATGCTGATCATTGGAGAGTGGCAGGGGGGAAGGGGGTGCAGAACATTACCTGCCCCTGCTCTCTGCTTGGGCAACAGTTGGTACAACTTCTGCTGTAACAGTGTGAGATTGGCTGCTGTACCTGAGGGATGGGCTCATTTCACGTTGCAGCAGCAGGTCAGTCAACATGGATTCCATGGGGCTACTCCAGATGCCCGATTCACTCCACCCTTCCCCTGAACCCCCAAAAACACTTCTAGTTGCAGGGCTGCACCTCTCATGGCCAAACATGCAGAAGGGCACATTTGCCACACTTTGCTTATCCCCATCCCCCACAGATGGACAGACTACAGTGCATGAGGCTGCTCCTGCTCGGCTCCCTATAGCCAGGTTGCACAGGGCTGCCCTGACATGGAACAGATCCCTTGGAGATAAGGGGCCATGCTGGTGTCCCCTCTAAGCCCCTTGACCCAACCTCCCCCCTCTTAGTCCACCACCCCTCCTTTCCCTGCCAGTCCAGCTGCCTCTACCCCATCCAGGCATGGACTCCCACCCTCCTTCTCTCCTTCCTCCCAGCTCCTCAGCTCCCTCCTGGCTACACCACCCCTATTCCTGTATCTTCCAGACAAATAGCTGTAGGAAGAAGACAGCACATGGGTAGAAAAGGGAGAGTGGGACCAAGGAAATACAAAGCCCTGAGAATAACGCTTACAGCTGAGTTCTTCACTCCCATTCAGACATCAGGTTGCACTGCTGTGCTCCGTCTGTCCTTCAAGCTTCTTTTCAAGAGGATTCTTCAATCTGCTTAACTATTTTTGCTTATTTTTATGAAGGGCTCATTTTCTTACAGACTTTCTGAACAGGTATTTTTAGCTTTTTTTTTTTTTTATGGGCAGTTAGTAATTTTATGGGCAGTTGGCAAACTTAGTTTGAGGTAATCTGGAAAATAGCTGAAGAAGAAGGAAGTCCAGGTATTCTTGAAGATTCATTCTTTCCCACAAAAAAGAGAAGACAAACAGCAGAAGATACCAAAACCAAAGTGTTGGCTGGATTAGTAGTATAAAGAGAGAGGAGGTGGCTTCATGTGATATTGTCCATTTTCTGTGATAAGAAAGTTGGATGTGGTTTGGATAGTCTTGAATTGCATAGTAGAACTACTGTTCTGGGTGTCAGACCAGGCTAACGTAGTCAGTGAGGAGTGAAATTAGCCACAAAAACTGTAGTTTAGTGAATAAATACACCAAGAACATGAAACTCTGTAACTTGCACTCAAAAGGACATCAGTATAATGAATCATAGTATTAAGCTATGGGACGTAAAATTCTTCAGTTGCCTATCTTCCAGTGCTAGGAGCCAGGTAACAAGAGTTATTAGAAATTCTCTCGCATGAGAAAATAATTTGACACTGAATCCTGGTGGGAGGATTCACATGATGAAATGTTAAACTCATGGTCTGCAACCTACAAAGAAAGGTCAATATCAGTGAAAAGGAGAGGGTGTGGTATTTGCTATCAATATGTTTACCTTTTAAAGAGTTATTGTCCAGAGTTTGGAAGCACAGGCTCTGAAATCCTCCTGGGTTGCTGATCTCATTGAGAAAGATCCCCATGGTGCACTATCTGGTGTACATCTGTTACAGGCACGTATATGTGCAGACATGCCTGTTAGGGAGGAAAGGACTTTGTCCATAGCATTGTCTTCACTGTTTAAAGTATTTCAGAGGCTGTTGAGGAAGTGAGGCAGAGACTGAACCCTCACAACTGTGTTCACTGACCTGATTCAACCTAATCTTCCTCTGATACAGAAGACCATGGTAAAGAGAGTGGCAATTGTTGGAGCTGGTGTCAGTGGATTGGTGTCTGTAACAGGGAAAGGACAGCTCCGTTTCTTTGATGCTACAAAGTTGCAAGTACAGGTGAGAGTCAGGTCAGGGACAGGGCAAAGTTAATTACTTAGTAAACACAGTTGGGAAGGGGATGGCACCCGGGGTGAATGTTAACTGATTAGGAGCCAGCAGCTACTTAAGTCCACAGCAAGAGGTTTTCCTTTGCCCCCTGAGGCACAGTGTGAAGAGATTCAGCGGGGACACCAGGAAGGGCAGACCCAGCACTGGAGCAGCTTGCTGATAAGACTGGCCGACTGGGTGTAGGTAACCACAGTGACCAGCAAAGCAAGGAGGTGAGCAAGAGAGGAGAAACTTGCTGGATGAGACAAGATCCCACAGAGGAAGAATCCGCTGGTACCGGCAGGAAAGAGAAAAAGAGAGCAGGACTAGAGTGGAGCTGACTGGCTTGGGGGGATGGGCTGCACAGTGATGGAGGGCAAAGGGAAGACCACGAGCTGTGAGAACAGCCAGGGTTCTCCACAACCTGCGGGGATGTTACTAATAAACCAGTTTTCTTTTGTCTTGCTTCTGGGGCGATGTACTACACCCTCATTCATTGGGGGAATAAACTTCTTTTTCTTCCATCATTCCAAAGCGTGGCAGGCGAGCCCCAGGGGAGAGAGATTTCGTTATTCACCCCCACCTGGCCACAGTGTCCATTAAGTGCTGTCTGGAGGAGGGGCTTCAGCCCACCTGCTTTGAAAAAAGCAATGACTTTGGGGGACTCTGGAGGTTCACAATAAGTGTAGCTTGATTGCCTGTGGCTGTAAATGGCTAATTCTGCCCATCAGACTTCCACCCAACACCTTTGATGTAGCTGATGGACATTCTCCCCAAAGCCCAGTTTTTGCCAACTCTCCAGTGACTAACCTATCCTTTTGGGAAAAGGAGAAGGTAAAGTAAAGAAATCAGCCTATCCAATATTCAATACTTGTCCAAATATTGCTGGAAAAACTGTCCCAACATGGCCTTTTTGTAAAATAAAAGAAATGCACATTCAACCAAATGATAATTGAGTTCCTTAGATTCATTTTATGCCCTGAAGTCCTGAAAATGGACCCCTGGAAGGTTCAGGCCATCTGCGAGGGGAAAGCCCCCTGAAATGTCAAGGAACTTCAAAGATTCCTAAGGTATGTAAACTTCTACTGCAGATTCATTGTCTATTTTGCCCACGAAGTGTGTCCTCTCACTGTACCATTGCAGCAGAATGCTCAGTTCTGCTGTTCAAAGGAAGCCCAGCAAGTGTTCAAACCCCTGAAACAGGCCTTCATTTCTGATCCTGTGCTTGCTCGTCCTGACCCAGCCCTGCCATTTGTGGTAGAAATGGACACATCTAGCACAGACATAGGTGGCATGATCTTCCAACCACAGGGTCCTAAACAAAACTTACAGCCCTGCATTTTCTTTTCCCAAAAACTTACCCCAGTGGAACAGAATTATGAGATCCTGGATTGCAAATTCCTGGCCTTCTACTTGCCTTCAGGGAGTGGCAGCATTATTGAGAATGAGCACAGTACAAGGTACAGATCTTCACTGACCACAAAACCTTATTTCTGTAAGGCAGAAGCTCTCAATCAGAGGCAGCTGTGCCAGGCATTGTTTTTCCTCCCATTTTGACTTCCAAATAATGTACCAACCTAGGTCCAGGAATAGAAAAGCAAATGCCCTATTCAAAAAGATGGAATATGATGCCAGTCCTGTGCAGGCACCAATTGAACCCAGCCCTCCCTGAAGCCACACAATCTGATTGGCACCACGCAACCAATATACCTGCTAACCTTGTTTCAAGCTGCCACCTGAGAGGAAATTTCCTCCCCAAGGCTGCCATCTCTTGACAGCCCCACTGTGTGTAGGCAAGATTTATATTCATGTGAAGTAGGATAAAGTGCCACCGGAGACCCAAATGGAGCATGGTTAGGAGTGGCAACCGTATTGAAAGGTGTCAAGTGACCTCAGCTTTAGAGCCCTAGTGGGCATGGAAGCAGAGATGGGGTCCAGCACGCCTCACTGCTGTGCATTTAGGGAATATGGGCACTGCATTTAGAGAATATGAGCCCACCTTCTCGCTCACCATGCCTTGATGATAATTAATTAATTGATGTTGATTAAGCAGGAGACTGCCCATTTCTTGCCCTGATGCCAGGGGACACTATCTGTGGCTCTGTTCCTCCCCTACACTGCAGCCCAAGCCTTGCAGATGGCATCCAGATGTTATCCATATCACCAGCCCCGCACTGGGCCCCCGAATCCTGCTAGTTGGACCCCACTTAGAACCTTCTATTCAGGCGGCCAATTCTGCCTTCATTCCCGGCTGCATAGCTCCCGGAGCTGCTTCCCCCTTATGGGTGTGGTCCCCTCAGGACCTTTGGCTCTGCTAGCCCTGGCCCAGCTCCAAGCCAGTTGGGACCCCAGGCCCTCAGCTCTTGAGCGTTCCTTGCCGTGGGCCCCTGGCCCTTCGACCCTTCCGGTCCTGGCCCCAGCATGGACCAGTCGTGGGATGTCAAGACAAGTTAAGAGTCTATGGCCCGATTTTCTCTCTCTCTCTCTCTCTCTGGGCTCCACCTTCTAGACCCTACAAAGGGGTAACCCACCCGGTTGTGGGAGCTGGGTTTAAGGCCCCCCAACCCGCCTTTCACCGGGGTGGTAACTGGCCTGGCATTTCCTGGGGGCTCCCTCATCACTGAGAGCCCCACCAGGCCACCCACTCCCAGCAGGGTGCAGTTTTTGGTTATGCCTGGGACCAGGAGCCTCCTGACCATCCCCTATAGCTCCTCCCGATGATACCAGCAGCCCTGCAGCCAGGCAATGTTGTTGAC